TTTGCCTTTTTGTAGCTACAGTAGCTGTATGTCACATAGCAATTGCTGAACAGGTAAGTATTGTATTAAAATATTAATTACTGCAGACTGTTACCAGTATTATTGTAATTTTTGTAGATACTGGGTGTTAATAACCAAGTTCTATGTGTGCTGGTATTTTCTAGTCCTTCACTACATGTTAGCTGATTCTGTAATCAAAGAAACACTTCTTTGTCTGATTACAAATTCTTTTTTTTTTGTCAGTTACGGGGTTCGAATTCAGGGCCTGGATGTTATGTTATTCCTGAGTTTTGTTTTTTTTTTGGGGGGGGATCCAGTCATGGGGCCTGAACTCTGGGCCTTGGGCACTGTCCCTCAGCTCTTCAGCTCAAGGCTAGCGCTCTACCACTTGAGCCACAGCCCCACTTCCGGCTTTTTTCTGTTTGCTTATGTGGTGCTAAGGGATCGAACCCAGGGCCTCGTGCATGCAAGGCAAGCGCTCTACCACTGAGCCACCTTCCCAGCCCATTCCTGAGCTTTTGTACTCAAGGATAGCACTTTGTTTTTTTTGTTGTTGTTGTTGTTTTAACTTTTGTGTGTGTGTGTGAAAATACCGTACAGAGGGGTTACAATTACATGGGCAAGGTAATGAGTCTTATCAAGCATTGTTGCCTTCCCCCACCCACCCCCCAGCCAAAGTTGTAAAGTTTGTTTTTGACATAACCTCTTGTACATATCATTGTTGCAATGGGTCCACCTGTATCCCTATTTAAACAATTTGTTTTTTTCCCTTCCCCTCCACAAATTATATCAACATCAAATACAGTGAAAACAGGGGTTATACCGTGGAGGAGGGATATACAAAGCAACAAAGAAATCATCTTATAAATATGTTAGAAACAATTGCAAGAAAGAAAAAACATTTGAGTCCTTAGCTTGGGGTTCATTTCGCCTAACATCAACTTATCTGACTGTTTCTGCTTGTCTCAGACATATACTAGTAATTGCAAATAAGGGAAACCATGGGACCTATGTTTCTTTGGACCTGGCTTACTTCACTTAATATAATTTTTTCCAGGTCTTTCCATTTCCTAACAAATGGGGCAATGTCATTCTTTCTGATGGAGGCATAGAATTCCATTGTGTATATATACCACATTTTCTTGATCCATTCATATACTGAGGGGCATCTGGGTTGGTTCCATACATTAGCTATGGTAAATAATGCTGCAAGGATAGCACTTTGAATCACTGCACCATTTCCAGTTTTCTGTTGGTTAATTGGAAACTAGAATCTTATGGACTTTCCTGCCCAGGCTGGCACTGAACCATGATGCTCAGATCTCAGACTCCTGGGTAGCTAAGTTACAGGTTTGAGCCACTGGAACCCAGCATTCTTTTGACTTTTAATAGCATGATTGTTGCAAAAATATAGGATGCATTTAAGCCATAGAAGTTTTGCGTGTTTGTAGTAAACTGTTAAGATAGGACTCCTTTTAACAAAATTGTCATGGAGGAGATGAGAAATACTTGTTCTCTCCATTGGATGTCTTTGTAGCAGTGGCTAGTATATGTAGAGTAGTAATTGTTCTAAGAAAGCCAGTTTTTTTAATTTTGGAATTCTCTTGTGAAAGGGGCAGAGTTTCACTTGCTCTTTAAGTTTTTATTTTTATAACAATTTCATGCTTACAGAAAAGTTATAAATACAAATAATTCCTGTATATCTTTTAAAAATAATTTTATTGTTACAATTAAGGTGTTGTAAGAGGGGTTACCATTTCATAAGTCAGGTAATGAGTACATTCTTTTTTTTGGACTATGTCACCCCTTCCTTCCCCCAGTTTCCTCCTCTCATTCCTGCCCACAAGTTACATAGGTAATTTTCCACATAGTATATACTGAATAGCATAATTGTAGTTGTTCACACATTCTCCCTCCTTTCTGCGCCCCTCCCTTTTCCCCCAGAAGGAAAAAAAAAAACAAAGCAAAAACAAATGCCTCCACCACCAGCAGCAACAACAACAACAGCAAAACACATTTCCATTTAAATGGTATTTAAATGTCCAGAGAAGTTACATCTTTGTTCTGATATATCTTTTATCTAAATTTGCCACATGTTTAGAACATTTTACTTTGGTTTTCTCTCTCCCTAAGTACATGTATATTCTTTTTTTCCCCCCTGAGTAATGAAAATAAGTTACAGGTATATTGCCCCTCCAAAATAATCAGGGTATATATTCCAATATCATCGTCTTCCTTGTATTCATTGTCATGCTATCAAAGTCAAAACATATATAGCTTTTTTAATTAAATAGATATTTGTTTACTTAGGAACGAAGTATTGTTGGAATGAAGTGTGTATGTATATATATATATATGTGTGTGTGTGTGTGTGTGTATATATATATATATATATATATGAAACGGCTTAAGGGACTTACAGTCTTGTCTAACAAGCCAAATAGAAAACTACTTTAGAATAATATCTGTGACATAGGAGTAACACAGATTAAAAAAAAAAGTGCTGGGAAGCATGAGGAGAAAGTAGTTATCATTTCAACCTGGTTGTTTCAGAGTTAACCCTAAAAAAGTGAAAGTGGTCTTCCTAAGGTCAATGGGAGGGAACTCCCTTCCCAGAATACACCCTCTTTATTTTTACCCTTGACAATCAAAGTTCTGGGGCTGGATTTGTTATTTTAGTTACTCAGAACTGAAATATCTGGAGCACATAAGATATGGCAAGCCAATTTCTACAAAATTTGATGCCATACTTTCCCTTCTAATAGATTTTATCCTTAACATTATTGGGCTTTCAAGAAGTGAGGTTTCCTTCTGAAGCACTTGTTAGGTTGTTTTTATTAATATCTTCTTGGTAATGAAAGCCAAGAAGTAACAGTGCTGATTAGCTGTTATTACTTGAAAAGAATGGAAGGAATGTTTATAAAAACTTAATTAAGTTACTGTCAGTCTAGAGTTCAAGGGGTAGTTACTGTTTTGTATTATCTAGATATTAAATGATCTGTGTATATATACAAGCACTTTTTGCATTTTTTGTATTAAAAAAGGGTTTAGAAAGTGCTATGATCATGTTCAGACTTCACCAGCTTAAATATGGCACAATTGAAATCAATGCATTTTGTGTGTGTGTGTGCCAGTTCTGGGGCTTGAACATAGGGCCTGGGCATGAGACACAGCTTCCCTTCCTGCTTTTTGGTGGTTGGAGATAAAGATCTCACCAACTTTCTAGCACTGCTGGCTTTGGACTAGCATCCCAGATCTCAACCTTCTGAGTAACTAGAATTATAAGCGTGTGCCTCAGTGTTCGGATTGAAATGAACACAACTTTCGAAGATAGTAGCAAATGTTTGAGAATCTGTTTGTAAAAATTGCATATGAAAATTTGCTTTTCTTTAGTATTAGAATGTTTATAATACTATTGCATGTCTGTGAAAAATTACAGAATAATTGAGTATTTCTCAATCAGATGTTTTAAGTTTTTGTTTTAAGTTCATGTAAATTTTTAATTTTAAATGCTTAGGTTTTTTGTTTCTTTGCTTTTACATGCATATGTTTTACAATGTTTTAACATGTGCAAAAGATTTTTGATCATAGAAGTTCAGATATTAATAACTCGCTTTTTCTTTGTTTTTTAACATTTTTTAATTATTATTATCTTTAACTAGTTGTACAAAGAAGTTCCCATTCTACAAAACAGTATATGAATACAAGGTGTTGCTTCTTGTTTCTGATCAAAAACTAAGGAAAGTTTTTGGTATATAGGTTTTTAATTGCTTTTCTTTTTAGAACTTCATTTTGACAGCAATATACCTAAAAGGGCAAAAATGTATATGAATTTCATTACTTTAGATTTTCTTATCTGATTTTTAAATTTTTGAGTCTGAAAAGGGGTACCTTTATTTTATTTCTGGGCTTGAGCACTGTCCCTCAGCTCTTCAGCTCAAGGCTAGCACTCTACCACTTGAGCCACAGTGCCACTTCCGGCTTTTTTCTTTTTTGCTTATATGGTTCTGGGGAATCGAACCCAGGGCCTCATGCATGCACGGCAAGTGCTCTACCACTGAGCCACCTTCCCAGCCCTGAAAAGGGGTACCTTTAAATGGCATACTATGTATTTGGAGACCAAGACAGTAGTCAGTCATATTGATAGTTTGTTTTAGCAGAATTAGGGTTTAAATTTATACTTACTAGGCACATGCTCTGCCATCTGAGCTCTGTCTCTAGACCTTCAAATAATTTTTTTAAATTAAATACCTTTTTTTATATTATTGTGAAAATACTGTACAGAAGGGTTACAATTACATGGGCAAGGTAATGAGTACATTTCTTATCAAGCATTGTTGCCTCCTCCTTTGTTTCCCCTTCCCATCCCTTCCCATCTTCCACCCCCTCCACTCCCCCCTCAAATAATTTTTAATATCCTCAGTGAAACTTTTAAAATCCCCCCCACAGTTTTTTATCATTTTGAAAAAAGGAAACATTATGATCTGTCTCTATAATGTTTAAATAGGAACTTTTAGGAACTTGCTTTCAATTTTGACTTAGTTCCCCTAATGCATTGCTTAACTATTACTACTACATTCCTGATAAATCCACTTTATGAGATTATAGTATACTATGAAGATAGAATATAGGATCTGAAGTCAGATTGCAGTTTGGGCTGCAATTTTAGCTGTCTCACTTAGGTGTATAATACTGCAAAAATTATCTTTATTAAGTGTTGCGTTAGTAAAGTTATCATAGTAATAACAATTAAGTGGGATTTTTATTTACAGGTGGTTATATATTTCCTAACTCATTCTTGCATCAATGAATGTTAATTGTTGCATAAGTTATTATTTCAACCAGTAGTGGCTTAAAATTATAATAAACATCTATAGTCTTTTCTTTCTAGAAGTCAGTAATTTAGGAGCACCTTAGCTGGGTAGCCTTGTATCAGATGCATGGAATTGGGGGTAAGTGGGGTTATTTTGAAGCTAATGGCTATAAACTTTATTTTGCAGACTATGTCTTCAGCTGTGGTACAGTTATATGCAGCAGATCGGAACTGTATGTGGTCAAAGAAGTGCAGCGGTGTTGCTTGTCTTGTTAAGGACAATCCACAGAGATCTTATTTTTTAAGAATATTTGACATTAAAGTGAGTTTTACTTTGATTTCACTTCAATCTAATTAGGTTTTCTGTCATAGTTGTAATATGAGATATTTTAAATGAATAAGAGAATGATGATATCTTTTAGATACTGAAGTATACAAAATAGGAACATCTACTAAGGCCAAATAAGAATACTGTATTGTCTTCTCATCTACAGTTTTGCTTTCTGGAGTTTTGGTTATTGTGGTAAGCCACAGCACCAAAATATTGAGTAGAAAATTTCTGGAATAAACTTATAAGTTTTGGATAGCTATTTAAAGGCATATTGTTGTGATTGCTATATTATTAGTTTTATTGGGATAATTTGGAAATTTTATCCTATTTTTATAGGAAAAATTTTATATATATATATATATATATATATATATATATATATGATCCAGTGTACATCCATGGGATGTTTTAGAATATAATTCTAAAAAAAAAATGTAATTCTGTATTTTTTCTCTTCACTGCACTGTGCATTAAAGATAATGTTTTTTAAATTACATTTTTTTATCTTGGACTTTCTCCCAGTTTCTTTTTTTTCTAGTAATATACTTTTATCCATTTTGCTTACTGTAGACAAGCTTATATCATCTTTTCAGGATATATCAAAAGACTATTGTCTGTACTTTATATATGTACTGTTACTTACTTGAGCCCAGGTTTATCTCTAAGAATGTATTTGATGCCCATTCTAAAAATGTATTTGCTGGGCTGGGATGTAGCTCAGTGGCAAAGCGCTTGCCTAGCAAGAGCAACGTCCTGGGTTCGATCCCCAGTACCAAAAAAGAAAAGACAAAAATAAATAAAAATAAAAATGTATTTGCTGCCTATTCTTCTTTATACTATTTTTATAGATATATTTGGATTTTTATAGCTTTATAATTCCCACTCAATTATAAACCTATCTTGTCACAGAATATATGCCCCTTGTAAGGTATTTATCACCTAGAATGCTCCATTATATCTTAAAATTTTTTTCTAGATAAGCCTCCATGGTTAACATTTGTATATGACAATAAACATAGTTGGATTTAATTACAAAATATTAAAACTGGTTGTGTGGTGCCGGTCTTTGAGGTTCTTATCTCCAATTAGCTACTTAGAAAAAGCCAAAAGTGAGCTCTGGCCTTGAGTAAAACAAAAAAGCTCAAGGACAAGCCCCAGGTCCAGCACCTAAAGAAATTAATTAAATTAAAACTGGCATTGAACTGGGCATTAATGAGACCAGCTAAGTTATAGTCAAACTTATTTACAGTTGCCCACTTCTTTAGTGGTTAAATGGGATAATCATTGGGGTCTATTACAAAAGTTTTTTATGAAGATTAAATGAGATATGTTATTATACTTTGTAAATGGGTGCTTCTCAGCATGTCCTTCTGAATATCCCAAGACAGCTGAGAGACATGGCATGCTATTGTCACTTTCTGGCTTACTATATAGCAGTGATTCTAGGAGATAGGAGTATATCCATAGTTCCGAAGAAGTGCTTTAATAATATTTGTCATCACCAACAAGAACCACTATTTAGAAATAGAATATCATACAATTCTACTAAAAATAAAGGAATCCCATTATAGTGAGCCTACTATGTGTATAATGTATTTTACATCTTACGTGTTGGATTTAGGTAGAATTTTGCATTATTTTATTTGCAATAATTGTATTTTTCCATCAACTGGATATAATCATGGGTGACCACTCATAATTAGGTACTTTAATAAAATCATTAAATTGTGTGATTTTATATGCTAAACACACATATAAAATACATGTTTGTATGTTTTTATTAATATAAACAATTCCCTTAATATGAGATGCCTGCTTTGTGTCACTCCTAGAGTTTTGGGCTGGTTTTTTGTTTGTTTTGGAAGCTCTTATTTGATTTTATTTACTTCTTTCTAGGATGGGAAACTATTGTGGGAACAAGAACTATACAATAATTTTGTGTATAATAGTCCTAGAGGATATTTTCATACCTTTGCTGGAGATGTAAGTCATTTTTCTTGTTTAATTTTTTACATTGCTTGCCTTTTCTAATCTGAATTACTTATAGAATCCTATTGAAAGATCAAACTCAGTTTACTGCTTTTTTTTGAAAGATAAATATTCAGTTTATTGAGTTTCTGCTACGTTAAACAGCTTTTCTAATAATTATCTTCTACTTTACATTTTCTAAGCATTCCCCTTCTTGTTAATCAGATCATAAAGTAATTTCTTGTTTGCCAGGAAAAAACCTTTCTCCTTTAGAAATGTACTTTGTTTATCATGATCACTTTTTGCAACATAAAGCTAAATTCATGCATTTTATTGTTGCCCTTTTTACTGAAAATATTTTAGACTTGTCAAGTTGCTCTTAATTTTGCCAATGAAGAAGAAGCAAAAAAATTTCGAAAAGCAGTTACAGACCTCTTGGGCCGACGACAAAGGAAGTCTGGTAAACTCTTCTATTTTTTTCTTTTTTTTTTTTTTTTGGTATATAAAATGAGCCAGCATACTCAGCTTGGGAAAAAGAGATATGGCTCATTGGCTGTTATTGTACATAAAATTTTATTGAAGCTCAGCTATACTCATTGACATGTTGTCTGTGACTACTGTTTTGACATGGTCAATAGTTAATGTAGTTATGACAGAGACCTCAAACCCTAAAATATTTACTGGATAGCCCTCCCTTTCCTAAAAGATGTTTGATGATCCTTACCTCAAAAGGCATTTTTTTTATTAAGACCGTATTTTGTTTTAACATTATTATAGAACTTATTCCAGTAACCATTTTTGTTGGTAAAATTCCATGTATGCTGACTTCTAAATTTGCACTGCTTATGTCACTGTTTGTGACAAATTTTTCATTTTTGTAAACACTTTAGGCAAGCAATTAAATAGAAATAAAAACAAGATCTACAACCATCACCTTGTTTCTCATTTGTCCTTAGTGTTGCATATTGTAAAACCACAAGGAACCTAATTTAGTACAGAAGAGGACATTAATACATAGAAAAAAATTTAGGCTCATATTGAATTTAAATAAACTGCCATAGAGCTATTGTTTGACAAAGGTAGCAGGCCTTGATCTAGTACAGAAGAGTGATTAGGAAAGTTGATCAACTCTAAAATCATTACCTCATGTATTACAAAGCCTTTTTGTACAGCTGAAAGATCACTGGGAATACAGTGAATCTGGAAGTTGCTCTGTAAAAGCAGGAATCCCATTTTATGGGTCTTTATTGTTTTTTAGTGAGTTTTAGTGAGGGGGAGGTAAAAATAAATCAAATTGTTACCTCACTATTGCCATCTTAGTGTGTTCCACTTATTATGGGTAAATAGGAGAATTATTAGGACCTACTACTTTTTGGAGCCAAGAACCATTTGACTCAATAATAGGAAAGTTTTTAATACTATATCTAAACCTCAACAGTAGGAGTCATGGTTCAGTCACTGTTTCAATGGTGCTGGACCAAGAGCTTTCTGGAAGAAAGTCAGAATATGTGATAAATGAGTCAAAAATACCTTTTAAAAAATAATTGATGTTAGATGCTGATGGTTCATGCCTGTAATTATTAGCCCCTTGCTAGTCAAGGGACTAATATCTGAGGATCTGGGTTCAAAGCCAGCCCAGATAGGAAACCTTTTGAGACTGTTGGAGACTCTTGTCTCCAGTTAACTATCAGAAAACTAAAAGTAGGGCTGTAACTCATTTGGTAGACTGCTAGCCTTGAGTGCAAAATTGATTTTGAAGCTTGTATATGAGTTAGAACGCCTTTAACCTAGCGCAGGAATTCTCATGTGTAATGGTAGTTCATATACTTTTAGGCAGTATTTCAATAGCACAAAGAGCATGGTATTAGGGAAGCAGTTGAATTACTGCTAGGTAGCTCTTCATTCTTAGTTCTTTTCCTCACTTTATAGCCATCTAATTATTTCTTTTTAAAAGAAGTTACTGTTGAACACATTAGCACATATGTAGTTTAACTATGACTGTGGTACTAAACCATCCTTAATACTGTTCCAGTAATGAGCCTAACAAATACCTCATAGCATTAGCTATCATTGTGTGTTCAACTCAATTATTCTCATTTTCATGTGAATGGCTCAAGCAAGAATTACTTAGCTCAAGTTAAATAATTGTTCCTCAGATACATTCTGAACTTTTATAGTCACTTACTTTGTTCACCCACTGATTTAAGAAATACTGCTGCTTTTTTGTATGAAGAGATAGCAGACTCTTAGAAATTGAAGATTGACTTTCTTGGACATAGAGAGGACTTACTTTAAATGTTTGACAAAATTATTTCATCATAAGTTTGAGTTCCTATTTTTATTTGTCCACTAAAGAGATTCTATTGACTTGTGATTATTTATAAACTAATATTACATTAGTTATATATGGATCTTTTACATTTCAGAAATTTTTTTTAAAAATGTGGAAATTACATTTGTAAATTCCTTGAATACTTTTGAAGTTTCTTTTTTTGGCGGGAGGCCTGACCTCTGGGCCTGGGCGCTGTCCCTCAGCTCTTCAGCTCAAGACTAGTGCTCTACCACTTGCCACACCATCACTTCTGGCTTTTTTCTTTTTGCTTATGTGGTGCTGAGGAATTGAACCCAGGGCCTCATGCATGCAAGGCAAGCACTCTACCACTGAGCCACCTTCCCAGCCCCTTTTGAAGTTTCTTAAAGCCAAGCTAGGTTTTTTGTTTGTTTGTTTTGTTTTGCTCTGAACAAACCTGGTATGTAAAAACATAAATGCAAATTTATTCCGTTTCTTTCTCCTATTTAATTGAATATAACTTTTTAGTATTTGCCTGTCCTGACACTCTGTATGCTAAGGACTCCCTAAGTTTTGCCTTCCAATTCTGACTTCATGCTATCCCCTTAAGTTAATGTCAGAACAGCCTTCAGACAATGTACTTGAGCAAAACAGTCTGTTTTCTCTGTTGGAACCCAGTGATATACAGAATACATAGATAGTGGGCTCTTTTGAAATGTATGAATCCTTCTCACTTCTCTCCTTGCACTACTCATTCTCTTGGTTCACTCTAGTCCATTCCTTACCTGGTGTTGTGCCTTCCTTAGGTCATTGGGCCTTTCCCCACTTGATATTTAGAATCTTATTAAATGTCAATTCTCAGAAATATCTTCCTTAACCTAAACCTGTTTGTCAATGGGAATGAAACAGTGTAAGTGAATTTAGTTTTTTGTTGAGGTTGTGTTCTTAAGCCTAATAATATTCCAATTTATTTTCTAACAGAGAAAAGGCGAGAACCTCCAAATGGTAAGCTTTTTATAAGTATCCACCAAAAAGATTTTAAATTGTGGTTTTGTTCTTGTAATATATACCTAGTATTTAGAACCTGATATTAAAGTACTATGTTTTATTATGTCCTTGCTTAAAATTAATGAATGTTGGGTGAGATTTATGAAACATGGTTTTGTTTTGGTGTTTTTCCGCATGAAGGAAAAAAATACATAGGATGAAGGTGACTGGCACTTCCTTTAAATTTACAAATTGGACAATTTTAGAAACTACATTTTATTCTTAAAATTCATTCAGTGTCTGAAGCAGTGAAGATGAAGAATGGGAATAGGTTGAAGGAATGAGTTTGTTGTAAGTGCACTGTGTACATGCATAAAATATCACAGTGCATCCCCTTCATACTACAAATGTATGGAGTTGACAAGTTAAAAATAAAATCTTTCCTACAGGCATTACATTTTATCTTCCATACTTGTTTATCTTGAGATATCTAAGGTATCTTTATTTCAAAATATTTCACATTTGTTCTATTTTTATGTGCAGCCCCTTTAAAAAGGAACGTGTGTTTACAAGGTGTGTTTATTTGTAGCTGCATATAACCTCTTTGATTTAGTATTGAACACCTGCAGTATGGCAGATTCACTTAGTTCTTTATTGGGGTGTTGAATGCCAGCTGCAAAGAATAGTATCTCTGATCTGTAGGATCCTTGACCTGTCATTCTGGATCTCTATGGCCTTTCTGAAGCTATGTGATAAGTTTTGCTTATATTCTTTTCTCTGGAGAGGCTCCTTGAGTCTCATCACATTTGAGTGGGGTCCCTGACCCTACATTGCTCCAGGGACCTTTATTTTAAAAGGGAATGTAACTGGGACAGTCACTCATAATCAAATGTAGTATCTTCCTCGGATTGCATTTGTTTTTATTCTGTAGCTTTATAGTTTAATCATTGGGTGCTATTGTTTCAGGCCTTTTTCCTTTAAATAATATTTTTTATTATGTTGTTAAAGATCAACATTATACAGTAGATATTGCCAATATTTTATTTATGAAATATATATAAACATTACATTTCTGGATTACACGCACCTTAAAAAGTGAAGTAAATAATTATTAATACAGATTTGAATTTATTTTTTCTTACTCTTGCTCTCTCATCAGTGGAGACTACTATTTTTGAGCAGGATTACATTATTTACATATTGGGCATTGCCACTAGGTGGTAGCACACATCTTTACCATGTCCACAGTGTCACAGTGTCTCAGCTCTTCATTTAGATTTTAGGTTTATCAGATGTTTTCATATTATAAGTACTAGTAACACATTTTACATAGCACTTACACGTATATTCCTAAAATTCAGCTTTGTTTCTTCCTTCCTAACTCCTAATTTCTGTATTGGTCACATTTTCCTTTCCAATGGTTTGTTTTTACCTTCATTGGTTACTTCCATTCCTATTACTGCTCTTCACCTATTTTTCAACTATGTTATCTTAGTAAAGTTGTATGCTTCTAATGAAATTAAAGGGAAACTTAAATTTGTTCTTTTAGGTATAAAATTAACTAGAAAGATGTGTTACTTACAAGAATATTCAAAACTCGTTTCCTATAACATTTGTTCTTAATTTATTATTTGACTATTTTTAGATAAAAGAGGAAAGCAGCCCTCTCTCATATATTTACTTAGATGATATTCTCAGAATGAATTTAATTTCATAGAATAAAATGAGACAACTGGAGATGACTTGTATCTTTATTACCAAATTTTGTCTTAAGTTTAAGATGACTGTGCCTTATAGACATGACCGTCTTTTTCTACACTCACTTTTAAAACAGATAAGTAGGGTTTCAAACCATGCCCAGGATTTTCATAGGGATTGTCTGCCTAGTACATATCATGATCCTAGTACATATCAGATATTGAACATAATACATGTCAATAGCATAAAGTTTAGGTATAGGGAGTCCAATTGAGCAGGGAGCTGTCTCAAAATCTACATGCCAGTCTCCTCAGCCTTCCTGTGTTAACTTTTCTTTAATATGTAGTTACATTTATATATAATTTGAAGCTTGTTATTAGTGCAATAATCTTAGAATATTTTGAAGTGAGATTGTATGAAATTTGTATATTAAAATAGGATGCTTAAGGAGCGTGTAATGACCTTAGTACAATTTGTAAGGAATCTTTAATTGCCTATTTTGTATTCAGACTGGACTTTAGCAGAAAGAATTTTTTTTTAAGTTGGTCATGGGCCTTGAACTCTGGGCTTGGGCATGTCCTTGCGCTCTTCAGCTCAAGGCGAGTGCTCTACCGCTTGAGCCACAGCACCACTTCCGGTTTTCTAGTGGTTTATTGGAGATAAGAGTCTCACATACTTTCCTGCTAAGGCTGGCTTTGAACTGTGATCCTCAGATCTCAGCCTCCTGAGTAGCTAGGATTACAGGCTTGAGCCACCAGTGCCCAGCGCAAGAATATTTTTGTGAATTATAAGACAAGCTGTATGTTACAGCATTTAGAATCATTCCTGAAGATTCTACTGATAATATTTGAAGGTGCCTGAAATATATTTACAATTATCTTTATTGGCTGAGTGTGTTTGTTTTTTCTATTTTAAGTTTCTGAGTTGCATGCTTCTTTATATGTACTTAAGAGGAAGATATTATTGGACATAAATCTGTCAGTTTTGGAAAAAAATAGTAATAGCAGTTTTTTACTCGTAGACTGATAAAGTTATAACAAAGAAGACTAGATTTCTTATTTTTTTTCTTGTTTTTTTGTTTTGTTTTTGGGTACAGTAGTGGGCGTGAACTCTGGGCCTGGGCGCTGTCCCTCAGCTCTTCAGTTCAAGACTAGCGCTCTACCACTTGAGCCACATCACCACTTTTGGCTTTTTTTTTTCTGTTTATATGGTGCTGAGGAATCAAACTCAGGGCCTCATGCATGCAAGGCAAGCGCTCTACCACTGAGCCACCTTCTCAACCCCCTAGATTTCTTTGTTAAAGTTAATAAAGCAAAGTAGATCTATTTTCCTTAAGTGTTACATATCCCATTTACCAATGAGTATTATTTTGATAATAGGCTATTATTTTTAAAATTTAAGTGATCCAACCAATTAAGTACGTTGACATTCATATTCATGAGGCTTAATTTTTTTAAAAATATTAATTTTGTTTTAAATAATTATGTGTGCTAAGGCATTAGAAATTTAGGTAATACATTACTGTAAAGCTATAAGCTTCAGTTTATAGTAATATGATCCTCTAAAAATTACACAGCTATATAATTTATACAGTTTGATTGTAAATTACTGTTTTATTAAATTATATCCCTTCATACCATTTTGGTCTTACTTGTAGGTCCCAATCTACCCATGGCTACAGTTGACATAAAAAATCCAGAAATAACAACAAATAGATTTTATGGTCCACAAGTCAACAACATCTCACATACCAAAGAAAAGAAGAAAGGAAAAGCTAAAAAGAAGAGATTAACCAAGGCTGATATTGGAACTCCAAGCAATTTTCAGTAAGATAGTTCACTTGTTCTTTTATTATTTGAACAGGTCTTACTATACTTCCCATGTTGCTTTTATCTCTTGAGCCTCTCAAGTAGCTAGGGTTACATTTACCACTGTGTCTGGCCTTCACTTTTGATTTTATCATTTTGCTCATTTTTTTAACCTGTTAGAAATTTTTGTTTTCTTTTGTAGCAATGTATATATTCATAACTTTTTGAAAACTATGGACTTTGTTGGATTTGTGTTTGTTTGGGGTTTTTTTGTGTTTGTTTGCTCAGTAGATGTTCTGTGAATCTTTTGGTCTTTTTGAAACAAAATTTAGCTCTGTAGTCCAGGCTGCCTCAAGTTCTTGATTGTACTGCCCCAGCTTCCTAGTGCTAGAATTGTAAGCATGTGCTCCCATGCCCAACTTGTTCTATGGATTTTATGGCTTACTTTTTCACGCATCAAAAAAGAAACAAAGTTATTTATCCACCAAGTTGTTGAACATTATATCACTATGATATATAAGTAGTATTTGAAAATTGCATTATCAAAAAGTATTGTCTTAAGGTAAAATAGACATTGTCTAAAGGTAAAACAAAGCCTGTGATATATACATATGTTAATTTTTCACATGCATTATTTCATTGATTTCTTACAATTTTTGTATCCTCTTGTATTACTGAAATTCTTTAATTTTGACAGTTAAAATACTAGCTGTTCAAAGAAGTTGTACAAATAATGTTAAGATTCAGTCAGTATAGCACTAGGACTAAAATTTAAGTATGCTTAGTGTGTGTGTGTGTGTGTGTGTGTGTGTGTGTAGCACTAGGACTAAAATTTAAGTATGCTTAGTGTGTGTGTGTGTGTGTGTGTGTGTGTATTTTAAGCCAGTTATATCTGTGAGAGCTAAAACAAGCAAAGAATGGATTTCATTCTATTATGTTTTAAAGATCCTGTATGAATTTTATTTTTCTGTTCTAGGCACATTGGACATGTTGGTTGGGATCCAAATACAGGTTTTGATGTAAGTATCTTTTCAAGTACTATTAATTATTACCAAATTTTGGAAGGATAGTATGGTTTCCTTTAGATTTTTATTTTTATTATCATTTTTTGTATTCTAATGTTTATGTGAATGTGCTTTGTGTTTATGTGTATATACTACTGGTATTTGAAAATACAATATTGTTCTCTCTTTGCTATTGTCTAAACTTTATAGTAGGTTAAATACTGTGTTTTGATAGCTGAAGAAGTTTTTTTTTTTAATTATAATTAACTTCAACAGAGTACATCCAGATTATGTGAAAATAGTATAATTAAATTGGGGATATTCTGGTATATAATTAGTTACAGCTTTTCTGTTTATTTTTTTTGTCACTTTAGTAATTTGTTATTTTAGGCGAGGTGCCAGTGGTTTACACCTATAACCCTAGCTACTTAGGAGACTGAGATCTGGAGGGTCATAGTTTGAAGCTAGCCCAGGCAGAAAAGTCCATGAGACTCTATTTCTAAAATAACCAGTAAAAAAATGGCCTGGAGGCAGAGCACAAGTGATAAAGAGTACTAATCAAGCAAACAGGCTCAAAATCCATGAGGCTCTGAGTTCAAACTCTGGTACCAATCCCCTGTCCTTCCCCTCACAAAATTTTATTTTGTAGTATTATGAGAGCAAACTAAGTAAAACAACAGGCAAAGAAAACCAACTAACAAACAAAACAATTGGAATTTCAAGTCTTACTTTTTTTTCTTTTTCTTTTTTTGTACTGAGAGCCTCTAGCTCTTTTAGCTTGCTTGCCCAGTTAGTGTCCAACCACTTCAGACACAGAGCTAGCCCAGTTTTCTGCTGTTCATTTTAGAGATGGAACTACTTTAAAAACATCATTTGTGATTGGTATCAGCAAAACTTGTGGTTATATAATATAATGATAATTCTAAAAACATTTTATACCACTTTGTGTTACCTACTGGACAAGGAGGGATTTAAGGAAGTCTTCGTCCTCACATTTCCAAATTGATTCTTTTCCATGTGTTTATTCATGATAAGAAATCTTATAAAGGCAGGGTAGTATATCAGAGTTGTAAATTAAAAACCCTCTATTTGTAAAGACAGGCAAACATGAAATAAAATAGAAAGTCTCTTTGGTTCTTATTTGTTCAGGTTCTTTATAAAAATATGTATTATTTCCATTTAAAGGAAACGTTTTAAAAATTTATAAACAAAATCATTTCATAAGGACACAGATGAGTATTAAATGTCATGATTGAAATTATAACCAATTTTTTATAGTTAGCAGTTACTTTATCTGTTGTAGCTAAATAATTTGGATCCAGAGCTAAAGAATCTTTTCGATATGTGTGGAATCTCAGAAGCCCAACTTAAAGACAGAGAAACATCAAAAGTTATCTATGACTTTATTGAGAAAACAGGAGGTGTTGAAGCTGTTAAAAATGAACTCCGAAGGCAAGGTAACTTATTCTGATTAGTCACTTTCATATCTTTATTTTTCCCCTCTGAATTTTCTGAGATTAGCTCCTTTTTTGGGAGAGTCCCTCAGATTAAACTCTGGGCTTTGTGTATATTAGGAAAGTGATATTACTGATTTATGTACATCTGAGCTCCTGAGATGTTTCATAGCAGGTGTGTGTGTGTGTGTGTGTGTGTGTGTGTGTTTATTGTGTGTGTGCATGCACACACGCGCATGCACATTCATGTGTACCCCTCCCTTTGCAGAATGCTTGAAATTATGGACAACTAATTTTGCCCAGCATATTATATCTTGTATTATTCTGATAAAATTTTAAAACTTGACAAGGTTTATTTTTTGCCTTTATTATTTTTTCATATTAAATTTGTGAAAATCTATGTAAAAATCTCCCAGCTAGTCTAAAAAGTTATAATTGCCTATATATTTTGCCTAATGAAACAGAAGCCATTAAAGTTATTATAATTCAGTAATAATAATTTAAATATAATCACTTTGTAATCACTAATAACAATGTTTTCATAATACAAACAAGGTAAACTTTTTTACTAATTTTGAAATACAAACTTTTTTTAATAAGTTAAAATTTTCTTTTGGTTGAGAATACAAAAATTTCACTGTCTTTTAAGATATGAAATTTCACTTAAATCACCTCATGTTTTAATGTGTCTTAACAAGTATGATAGCACAAGGCAAATAAAGTTTTCAGCATGAAAGTCATCCCTTTGCTACCTTGATCTTTCAGGACTAATTTTCTTTTGAAATACCCATTACAGTATAACAGCAAAATCGTCAGATAATGTGTTCTTAAATTTTTTATTTTAATGTATATATTTACCTTTTTGTTTTTCCCTGCTGATGTTTTGATTATGAATCATTCATTTACATATTTAGTAAACATTATTATTCCTAAACTAGTCTCAGGATATTTAGACAGTTTATTTTCTTAGAAGTATTACAGTCCAGTGCAAGGTCATATTGCAGTTGTGGAAACAAGTGTTTCTTCCACTAGCATGATGCTCCATTTCCAAACTGTGGATTTTAAACAACACATTGTAGGCACAGCATAACATTATTTCTCTTTTTGAGCCTGTCTTCAGGCTTAAATTTCAGGCACTGCCCCTGAGCTTTTTTGCTCAAGGCTAGCGCTCTGCCGCTTGAGCCACAGCTCCACTACCAACTTTTTGAACCTAGGAATCTCACAATCTTTCCTGCCCAAGCTGGCTTCAAGCTATGATCCTCTAATCTCTGCATCCTGAGTAGCTAGGACAGGCATGAACCACCCTCCTTACTTCGCACCATTCTTTTTAATGCATTACTGGCATGCTGAGATGATGGAAAACCATTATGGTCTTAGAGAACCATAATGTATCTCTCAGAGCTAATTTTTTTTCCACTCTCATCACTTGTGCACACCACACCAGTGATTTTGAACGTTTACAAGTAACTCTTGACCTTATTGCCATCTGTGCCTCTGCATTCTCACCTTCATGGCTGTAACCAATAATGAAGAATATCAACTAAATTGAGTTTTTAAAAGCATGTTTTAAAAACAGGCAGGTTTTTCTTAATTTAGTTTCTTTAAAATAAGAAATCTTAGACATTGAAAAACATACTTTGAGAACAGAATATAAAAACAGAATTTATTATATTCAATAACTTGAATTTCAATGCAGAACTTGTTTTAAAAAAGAATGGTTTTATGTAAGATGGATTTTTAATGGAATAATAAAAAGATTAACAATTTATTAAAATTTTTGTGAGTGAAACATAATTTAATATTCATAAATATAAAGAAGAAAAGCTAATTAAGTTGTCTTGAAAATACATTTTGTAAAACTGACTGAAGGAAATCTGTTGATACTTATTTTATAAAGCCTGTAGTCATGATTGATAAAACAGCTAGACTTGTGATTTGGTTTGTATAGTTGTGTTCATTAACTCATAGTATGTGTTCTATAGGTCCACCACAGTGGAGTGGTATGTATATGGAAGATTGAGTATGTGCTTTATATGATGCATGCTGTGCTGTGTTGATTTTTCAGAAAATGTAGTTTATATATTCTGCCTCTCTATATAGTGAAATTTTCAGCTCTAATCTCAAACTAATGGTTAGGATACACTTAAAAATTAAAAGAATATTTATTATTCAGAGTTTAGTACTTTTATCTAGAAACTTACTGGAATTTTCTAGTTTTATGTAACAACACTTCTTGGCCAGAAATAACCTGTTGGTTTAATTGCTACTAATTATACTTATTTTGTGATTACTTTTCATATCTGGCATTTTTTCTATAACCTGTACAGAATTTACATTTTTATATTAACTTGGGTGAGAGAAGACAATTAACAAAAGTAAGCACAACATTTTATAAATGTTTACTCAGGGACTTGTCAGCATTTCCATAAACTTAAATTTTTATTAGATAATTTTTTTGCTTGTTTTACCTTCATGAAAGTACATGGGATCAGTTGTTCCTGAATTCTATGATTCTGTATTTATTTGTTTTAAGTAATTTTTTGAGATAGGATCTCACTGTAAAGCACAGGCTGACCTAGACTTTGTACCTCACACTGAACTAAATGTTGTGATCCTCCTGCCTTTGTCTCCTGAGTGCTAAAATGGAGGATATGTACCATATCTTACAGTACTCTTAATAATAATGCGTGGCTATTTTTAAGTATATCAACCTTTTTTGTATAATACTTCAAGACAAGGGATTTTTTAAAATAAATTTTATTTTTCCTTTAATTTTTTGATAAAAGGAACAATTTTCTTTTGTGGTAAGTTTTATTTCATGCTTTCCACTGTATTCCACAACTGTGTTTATTACAGCGTTACTTACCATAGCTAAGATATGGAACTAACCCAGATGCCCCTCAGTAGATGAATGAATCAAGAAAATGTGGTATATATACACAATGGAATTCTATGCCTCCATCAAAAAGAATGACATTGCCCCATTTGTTAGGAAATGGAAAGACTTGGAAAAAATTATATTAAGTGAAGTAAGCCAGGCCCAAAGAAACATAGGTCCCATGGTTTCCCTTATTTGCAATAATTAGTATATGTCTGAGTCAAGCAGAAAAGGTCAGATAAGTTGATAGAGGGGAATGAACCCCAAGATAAGTAGTCAAATGGTTTTTTTTCTTTGATGCAATTGTTTCTAACATATTTATAAGGTGATATCTATGTTGCTTTGGATGTCTCTCCCCCATGGTATAACCCCTGCTTTCACTGTATTTGATGTTGGTATAATTTGTGGAGGGGTAGGGCAAAAACAAACCGTTTAACTAGGGATACAGGTGGACCCATTGCAACAATGAGATGTACAAGTTGTTATGTCGAAAAACGAATCTTACAACTTTGGTGGGAGCTGTGGGGGGAGTATGGGAAGGGATGGGAAGGGGAAACAAAGAGGAGGCAACAATGCTTGATAAGAAATGTACTCATTATCTTGACCATGGATTTGTAACTCCTCTGTATTCTCACAATAAAAAATAAATAATAAAAATATAAAAATGAAAAGTTGTGGTCTTCATGGTAACTTAGAGTTTTGAAAATCTGTATCAGAACTTCTTGTACTTATTTATACTGTCTTGAAAGATATTTTTGGGCATGTAAATCTAACTGCCATTTTCATTTTACCTTGAGATACACAACTTTTTGGCATACTTTGCTTTTTATGTTGAGCTAATACAGTCTATAAATAGTGAATATTGTTAAGGTTAAGGAGTTTTTGTTTGTTTAAAGAAATTAATCACTTTTCATGAAAATAGAAGTGTGATGGGTTTGTACTGCACTAAAACTGGATGTCAGTTTGTTCATTATAAATGAAGATTCCCCTACTCTTTTTTTTTGGGGGGGGGGTTCTGGTCGTGGGGCTTGAACTCTGGGCCTGGGCGCTGTCCCTCAGCTCTTCAGCTCAAGGCTAGCGCTCTACCACTTGAGCCACAGCACCACTTCCAGCTTTTTTCTTTTTGCTTATGTGGTGCTGAGGAATCGAACCCAGGGCCTTGGGCATGCAAGGCAAGCGCTCTACCACTGAGCCACCTTCCCAGCCCTCCCCTACTCTTGAGCAGTGATTTTTAGACTCTAAAGGAGTGTACCTGGATCCCAGTATATAAATTGAATGCATTTTCAAAAGAGCTTTAATTTAAAAGTTCTTAGTGGAACCATGGGAAAGAATTGGTAATTTAGCCAGGCACCGGTGCTTCACGCCTGTAATCCTAACTACTCAGGAGGCTGAGATCTAAGGATCGCAATTCAAAGCCAGCCCAAGCAGGAAAGTCCTTGTGAGGCTCTTAGCTCTAATAAACCACCAGGAAACAGGAAGTGGCACTGTGTCTTAAGTGGTAGAACGCTTGGCTTGAGCTGAAGAGCTCAGGGACAGCACCCAGGCCAAGAGTTCAAGCCCCATGGCCAACAAAAACAAGTGCCAATGTAGATAGATACTATTACCATTTGAAATACAAACTTTGTAGTTTCTTATTCAGGAATGTGCATAGTACTATACACCTATACCATTTCCTACCTTACTTGCAATTTGGTTGAAAATGCACTAGAAAAGTACTATGCTTTTAGCAAGTGTGAGGACAGCTTTAAAACAAAACTAGTCTTGGCATCAGGAGCGGCCTAGCACCCAGGCAGCAGGGAACAGCCCAGTGCACATCCAACTCAGACACAAGTCTAACCTTTCCGATCCCTGCTGCAGATCTGATTGAGCTCCCTCCAACTAGTTTGGGGCTAAGCACACCACAGGTGTTTGCTGGCCTGGGGACCCAGTGTGGGCTAGGTTACTCTGTGAACTAATCCAAGGCAAATGAGGGCTGCCATTTGTCAGGAGTAAACAGATCAAGCCACGACCATGGCCCTGACCATTTCTGAACCCTGCCTAAATCACAACAAAAGATTACAAGATTCATGAGCAATCAAGACAACAAACCAAATCAAATAGCCAGTAATGCTCCAGGGAAGGACATGAAGAGATGGAAGACAAAAGAACCACTAAAGAAACGATGACAGAAATGGTCAATAAAATAAAAGGGGAAATGCAGAAATAACTTCAAGAGGATAAAGAAGAGATGACAAAGAAAATCCAAGACTCCCAGAAAGATTTATAGAGAAAATAGACATGCTATACACTGCATTAAAAGATGAAACGGCTTCTATGAGAAGTGAGCTGGGAACCGTAAAAGGTTCAGATTCCACAGTGCAGACAGCAGTGGAATCTATAGTTAACAGAATAAGTAAAATGGAAAATAGAACTTCAGAAGCCGAGGATAAAACAGAGTAGCTAGAATAAAAACTCAAAAGTATGGAGAAAACATTGAGAACCTACCAAAGAGAAGTCCAGGAATTGGCAGACTCAGTTAAGAAATCAAATCTGTGTAAACCTTGGGATAGATGAGGGGGAAGAATTTAATAGTAGAGGCATCGAAAATCTATTCAGTGAAATAATAGCTGAGAACTTCCCCACTCTTTTCTGAAGATTTGTTTGTTTATTTTTTTATTGTGAAAATACAGAGGAGTTACAATTACATGGGCAAGATAATGAGTACATTTCTTATCAAGCATTGTTGCCTTCTCCTTTGTTTCCCCTTCCCATCCCTTCCCATCTTCCCCCTACCCCCCTGTTTATTTTTTTTTGTTGGTCGTGGGGCTTGAACTCTGGGCCTGGGCGCTGTCCCTCAGCTCTTCAGCTCAAGGCTAGTGCTCTACCACTTGAGCTACAGCACCACTTCGGGCTTTTTCTCTTATGTGGTGCTGAGGAATCAAACCCAGGGCCTCATGGATGCAAGCTAAGCATTTTACCCTGGAGCCACCTTCCCAGCCCGTTTTGGGTTATTTTTAAAATGATTAAAGCTTCCACTAGTTAGGATATACGTCTTTTAGTATAAACTAAGTTATAATAGGAAGCAGCCCTGTTACAAAAAAGAAGAAGAAACACAGCCCCAAAAATAGGGTCTTTTCTCCACAAAAAAGGAAAAACTGAATGAACTTTAGGTTTAACACCCAGACAGAGCTATAGTATATACCTTGAGCATAAATCATAGGAATGCCCTATTGTGATATCCTACCTGCTTCTTACAGCCGTATATTAGTAGCAATTTGAAAATGTATATGACTAGAGACAATAACCATGTGAGTTTGTGTCTTTCTGTAAGTTTCAGTTAATATTCCTGATTATGTTTGGTTATAAATTTTGTAGTATGTCCATAATTTGTCCAAATGAAATCGTAACTATCATTATATTCACTTTAGAAGTGTAGGCATCTAAGCTTATTGTTTAAAATTAAGGTGGGTACTTACAACTGAGTAGGTGACTAGGAATATTCTTAGTATCAGACTACACTTCATATAGGTAGACACAAATAGCTATTAGATTACAAAATTTCTCATAAAATAGTTTGTTTTTCTGTCAGTCTTTAAATGAATAGAGAAATATATATATTTTGATGTTGCTGTACTTTGGGATTTATCTAATAAATTTTTCTTTACACAGAATAATAATTGAAATATCATTATTGGGATAAAAGTTATTTTTATTAATAACTTTAGCTTATAAATGTCTCAATTTGTTAATAATCAGTTCAGATTTCCTAAGTAAATAGAACAACCTTCCTTAATACCATTGCTAGACATTGTATTAGAAGATAAAAATTAACATGTAAATTACATAATGAAGGTTTACTTTTTTTTTTTTTTTTTTGGTCGGTCTTGGGGCTTGAATTCTGGGCCTGGGCACTGTCCCTCAGCTCTTCAGCTCAAGGCTAGCCCTTGAGCCACAGTGCCACTTCTGGCTTTTTCTGTTTATGTGGTGCTGAGGAATCAAACTCAGGGCCTTATGCATGCAAGGCAAGCACTCTACCACTGAGCCACCTTCCCAGGTGTACTTTTTAAAATAAAAAGTGCTATGTTTTTACTTTTTATTTCACCAGTTCCTGGTGAAATACTGTAATCCTAGCTACTTAGAGGCTGAGATCTGAGGAGCAATTCAAAGCCAGCCCAGGCAGGAAACTCTATAAGACATAGCCAATAAACTACACAGAAAAAGCCAGAAGTAGTACTGTGGCTTAAGTGGTACAGCACAAGCTTTGAGCACAGAGAAGCTCAGGGGCAGCGCCCAGGCCCTGAGTTCAAGCCCCAGGTCCGACAAAACAGAAAAAAATGAATATTTCAAAGAAAATTAGAAGATACCCTCTGCTCAAATGTTTGTAAAGATGCAAATGTGAAACTTTTGGTATTTTTGTATCATATATATCAACGTGAGTTGTCTTATTAATATGTTGTTTATGGGGGGGAAACATGATCTTTTTTTTTCTTGTTTTCAGCACCACCACCACCACCACCATCAAGAGGAGGCCCTCCCCCCCCTCCACCCCCTCCACACAGCTCAGGTCCTCCTCCTCCTCCTGCCCGGGGAAGAGGTGCTCCTCCCCCACCACCGTCAAGAGCCCCCACAGCTGCACCTCCACCACCGCCTCCGTCCAGGCCTGGGGTGGGGGTCCCTCCACCCCCACCAAACAGGATGTACCCTCCTCCACCTCCAGCTCTTCCTTCTTCAGCACCTTCAGGGCCTCCACCACCTCCTCCACCCATGACAGTGTCAGTGTCAGCATCAGTAGCACCACCCCCACCACCTCCGCCTCCGCCTCCACCCGGGCCACCACCGCCCCCTGGCCTCCCTCCTGATGGGGACCATCAAGTTCCATCTCCCGCAGGAAACAAAGCAGCTCTTTTAGATCAAATTAGAGAGGGCGCTCAGCTGAAGAAGGTGGGGCAGAACAGCCGACCGGTGTCCTGCTCCGGGAGGGATGCACTCTTAGACCAGATACGGCAGGGCATTCAACTGAAATCTGTAAGTAAGATGCCTGTAAATGATCTTGAGATCATTTAACATCATTGGATTCTAAGGTCTTTTTATTTTTTCACTGAAGAAAGACATGTTTTGAATTTATCTTTTTACCTTACGCTATTTATCTTTGTTTCAACCTTGTAGACTTTTTTTATATAAACAATGATACTCCGCATTTTAGTTCAGTTTTGTTTCTTTCTGGCTTTTTGTTTTGGTGGTGGTACTGGGGTTTTAGACTCTGCTGTAGCACTTGGTAGGCAGATACTTTGTCACCTAAATTATACCTTGAGCCCTTTTTACTTTGTTATTTTTTTGTAGAAGTCTAGCACTTTTTCCTGGGTTAGCCTTAGACTGTTATCCTCCTACATATACCTCTCCTGTAGCTATAATGAACAGAGATGTACAACCTGGCCTGGCCTTTGAATTAGAATCTTACTACATGCTGAGTCTTGCTGGTGCTAGCCTGAAACCACACTCCTGAGTAGCTGGTTATTTTACATGTGAACCATCACACAGCAGTTTAGATAAATGCCTGTAGATGTGTAACCCACATTTCTGTATCAATGTGTAGACAATCTACAGTTTCTGTATTCTAAAATTTAGAGTAGTAAAAACACCAGACTCCAGAAAATTCAGAGTTCTAATAGAATTCTTTTTCTTTTTTCTGTTACTGGAATTTAAACTGAAGGCTTCATACTTGCTGTACTGGTGTTCTATCACTTGAAACATAGCTCCATTGGACATTTTTGCTGGTTAATTGGAGATGAATAGGATTTTCTTCCCAGTCTGGCTTCAAACTACGAACCTCCAATTTCTCATCCTCCAAGTAGCTAGGGTTACAGGTATAAGCTGCCAACACCCAGCACTAATAGAATTCTTGAGAGTAAAAGCTGATAATTCTGAATTCTCTGAATTGGACAAGATGGTCATTTGAAACAATATATATAGAGATGAAAAACTTTTCTAAAGACCAGATAGCATATGTTTATATGTATATGTGTTTATAAAATTCTGCAATAAAGTAGTGTCAAGGTTTACCATGCTAACACCTTAGAGACTAGAATGAATAGAAGTAGTCCATAAGAGCAAATATTTTTCAGGAAAGATATTTCTGTATAACTTGTTTTGCAAATGTATCGATGGCTTAACATATTATGAAATAAAGGAAATCAGATCTCAATAATTCTTCTAAGACAGCAGTTGTTTTTTTTTCTTAATTTTTTTTCTTAATCCTGTTTTAGGCTTGCACATTTGCTTTCTTTTTAATTTTCTCCTGTTGTTCTAAAAAGACAGTATTTTGATGACAAAGATTCTTTGCTAAGGATGTATAGTTGAGCTTTGCTAATTTTCTTGTTCAAGGTGTCTGATGGCCAAGAGTCTACGCCACCAACGCCTGCACCCACTTCAGGAATTGTGGGTGCCTTGATGGAAGTGATGCAGAAGAGGAGCAAAGCCATTCACTCCTCAGGTATGAGGGACGCACGCATGGCATGCGCGTGTGCACTCACACCAGCCTTAGATCTTGAACTCATGCTGTAACACAGCTTCTGTTCACAACTGGCACTCTTCCAATATAACCACATCTCCAAGCCTAGCTTTTTGCTGGTTAATTGGAGTTTTGTGTACTTGTTTGTCCAGGGTTCCTTTCAGTCCTCGTTTTCAGATCTCGCTTCCTGAGTAACTAGAATGATAGCATGAACCACTAACACCCAGAATAAAATTGATTATTTGAAGTTCTCTTTTTCTTTTATTTTTTATGACTATCTTTGTTACTATTTTCTCTGCTGTGGGACATATTTAACCAAATTGCTGCCCCTAAGAATAGTCTATTTGTTCTATAACAAAAAATACTGATAGAATCTCTGGCCAGCAACCTGAACCTTGAACTCAGAATATGGGCACTGTCCTTAGCTTTTCCAAGGCTAGCACTTTACTACTTGAGCCTCAGCTCAAAAAGTGTAGCTTTTGAGTAATTACTTAAAGAGTCTTATAAATTTTCCTAAGCTATCTTTGAACCACTTTCCTCAAATTTCAACCTCTTGAGTAGCTAGGAATACAGGTGTGAGCTGCCAGCACCCCACAATAAATATGCATTAATTATTTGTCTTGGTAATTTTCTTCCAGATGAGGATGATGAAGAAGATGATGAAGAAGATTTTGAGGATGATGATGAATGGGAAGACTGATCTATATATATATTCTATATATATATATATATATATATACATACATATATATATTTTTACGGTGAAATACTAAACACTACTTTCTGTCTATGGATTCTGTAAAATTATCATGTAAATGTTCTACCAATTTGCTGTATATTTTTGTTGCCTTTTTGCTTTTTTTTAATCTGTGCAATACCTCATTTAATCTGTAAAGGTTTGTCATAATCTACTCCCTGTTATTGTTGCAAGTTTACACCAGAATGCTCACTTATTGTGAATATTTTTCATTCCATCAACAGAGGAGTTTAAATATTATATGTGAGACTGACAATAAACCTTAATGTAATTTAGTTATAATGTCAGAAGGAAAACACTATTTTCATACCCTCCTTTTTCTGTACCTAAATTTTCTTATTAAAATCTAGTATAGCACTACATTCTTTTTAAGGTGATATAAACTTCAATTTCTTTAGCCCCGTCATTTTGAATACAATGCTACATATGAATGTTGAAGCTGATACATTGCACAGTTCTCTAGGTATCACTACACTGCAGTTTTTCAAATTTTAGCAATATTCTCTGCATAAAATCACTACAGAAATACTAATGGAGAAGAATGGTACACTCTTCTTAATCATAATGCCCGTCATGTTTCAGCAGTGGTATTTGTAGGCTGAAATCATAGGAGCCCTCACATACCTGTAATTGAGGTTATTTTTTATGCTATAGCAAATGTGGCAGGCCCCTTTTGGCAAAAAGTTGAAATATATTTTTGGTATTCTGAAAAGTTATTTAATTGGAGTTTTGCAGGTTTGGGAATAGTTTCCTGCTTCATAGCCAATATGTTTACTTCAGTGTTTGATTAAAAATGTTAGCAAAACATTATTTTAATAGTATGGAAATAAATGCTTTTATTTTACAGTTTGTAAAACTTGAGGTACTCAGAAATACCAACCATAGAGAAAAATATGTTGGCAAAGGTATACACTATATAAATAATTTTTGTTTGGGTAATTTCTCAAGAATTTTGTCAAATATCAGGTGAGGTATTACATTTTTATTGAAAGATTAATGGTCCCAATGTCAAATTTATTGGAACACATAACTGATTTTAGTAGATTTTTTTTAAAATAAAATTTTACAACCTACCCATTTGTTATGCATACTATATGGTGTGTTAAAATTAGGGTTTCCTTGTCTTTACAGTGCACTAATCTGCCTAATGGTGATTGTCTGATATTTATAGTGCTAATTATCACATCTACCTACTTTTAGTTTGAGGTAGAAAATTATCTGATTTAAATACAGACATTTTTCTCACATTGAGTCATATGCAGAATGTAGCTTCAAATGTATTTCATTATTATAGTCACACTATCCAACTAAAAAATATGCTATATAGAATTGTACCGACCAAAACCCAAGTATTGGCATGATCTTGACAGGCTGGACCTGCAAGATGTGGCTTGAATTTTAACCAGTTTATCACATAATCTCAAGTGATCATACATCTAGTTATCATAAAAAAATAATTTAAAAGGTTTAGTTACTGAAGGAAGTGGTACAGTAAAATAGTTTTAAGTTATTCAAGGAATGTTACCTTCCTTGAAAGAGTAATTTAAGCACATGGGAAAGATTCTAGATTTTTGTTTCCTGTAAAAACAGTGCTCTTTGCTGCTAAAAACTATTTTCTGCGTATTGTCACCTTTATTGTGGCTTGAGCTCAGTGACTCTTGTGTGGATGAGGCTGGACAAATACTAATCAGTAAAATTAGGAGTGTGTGCTCATGATGATAGGACATCATAATTACTTTCAATGACAGTGAACTACTTCTCTATGTCACATTATACAAGATGTCTAAAATTTCCTACAGTGTCTTTAAGATAATGCCAATTTAAAATGTCTCTTCACTTACTGCCAAGGATTCAGGATTTTCCAGCTAACTTTGGGATTTACCAGATGCTTCTCTGAGGACAGGATGTCAATTCTTTGAGTTGGAAACCCCACTTATAATATTTATTGCCAAAGATAATTGAATTTGTTCTTTTTCCTCAAAGTAGAAAACACGTGTTAATGCACAGTCTAAATTACTGTTAGTTGGAGCACAGTAGCTCTGGGGTTCAGTCCAGGCATGAAGACTAAAGCGCTTTAGCAAGTAAGATGTAAGGTTGCATGTTCCAGTCCTCCACTGCCTTGCACTCGGGGTGGCATCATTCCTGTGCTTTGTCTGAAAGCCTCCCACATATACTCCAGCTAAATGATTGTCTGGTAGCCTTTGCATTTAACAGACTAGCATGAGGCCTTTTCTATCTAAATGCTACGTGATAGACAATTTTAGCTAGCCACATATTGTATGTATGAGATTCATAAAGATTTTCAATCATTTCCATTTATCAACTGAAATTTTGTTTAGTATGTGAATTTTTTTGAAATGTATAGTGAATAGGATGATGCACTGGTGGCAATTCATCATAGAGCATAATAAAATTAATTTGACCCAAATAGTACAAAATAGTGTGTTTTTATTTATTTGTTGAGAGAGAAAAATAAGTTTACAAACTTAAATTGTAGAATATAGCAAAAAGTCCACAGCATGGAGTTTCCATCAGACTGTCTTCCCTGAGAGTTAGGTGTGCCATTGAATACACATGGTAAGCAAAGAATGTTACACCCTGTTCTATTGGGAAGTAGAATAGCTGCTCAGCAGCTCCTGGGAAGCCACTGCTGGTGTGCGGGGCACTCACACTGCAAGGTCAAACTGGAGCTCCTCCTTCACAAACCAGAAATGTTGAAGGTTTCCATATTACAATAACAGGACTTTATTGGTAGCTTCAGTAAGTGCCAAACATAGTGTGACATAAAGTAGCTTTTAATAAACAATCATCGAAGATGGTGATCACTTTAAGCAGGAAACGCAGTTTTTGATGAATAGAACCTTGTGTTTCACTGACCCTGGTGCATGTGGGTGTCTGGAGATCAGTTATGGAATCCAGAGTGTAGGATGCTACAGAATTTCTTGAAGAGCTTTCGACAAATTTAACAGACATTTCAAGAATAGTATGTTCTGTTAAGAAGTCATTTCTGTTGTCCAAAATTGTGCACTTCTAAGAGTGTAAAGCAAACTTAAGGAAATGTTAAAGAAAAGGCTGCCTCAGACTTGTGCCATGCATCATACTTCTCTAGTCAACAGAGACTCGTGAAATGACTTTGCTTTAGGAACGAGCTCTGAAGGACAAGGGGAGTGTTTAGGCCTATTTATAGTACAATAGGAAATCCTCAGTGGAAACATTTTATTGACACTATCACATTTTGTCTCTAAAGCCTAGCATTCTCCTAGTCTTGGTTATTGGATGCCTATATTAAAACTACTGCCTTTTAGGGAAACCATTGGGAAAAGATGTGGTAGAATCACCTATTAGGAATGTGATGTGGATCTTACTTTACAGTTAGTAAATACTAAGATCTTCTGTATGTGATACATATGCTCACTCCCATGAGGAGCTATTTAAAAGTTTAAAACAAAACAGGTGCATCTGCCATGGCTTATTGTAGGTAGGTAGGTGGAGAGAGAGAGAGGTGGAGGATTATACTATTCTCATTGTATATTAAGTACATTTAACCACACCAAAAAAATCTCAACAGCTAGTGTGGTGATACCTACTTGTAAACCTTGTCTCCAGAAGAGGCAGAAACTGTAGGAGTCCAAGGTAGTCCAGGAGAAAGTTAAGACTGCAATATGGTGGTGCATAAAAATGTGTATGGTCCCAGCTCCTGGCTCAAGGCTGGCTGGGGCAAAATTAGTATGAGACTATCTGAAAAACAGAAGGACTAAGGGCAAGGCAAATGAGACCTGGAGTTTAACAGTGCCACAAAACCGAAAACTATGCACACAATAAGATCCAATAATATATTCAAATAAGATAGGCCCCAGCTGTACTTAACATGTGAATCTGATGTATACATTATTTGAATATATGTGTTATTACAATTGAAAGCTGTGTTTGGGAGACCATTGTGTTAGAATAGGCAGATGTGACCTGCATGAATCAGTCTCTTCACTTTACAGAAGAGGTACCATGCTGAATTTAAGGTGATCACGGGTCTTGCCACTGAACAGTGAGAAGGATCTCATAGACTTAAACTCTGTTCCATGTACCATAATATTGTATCCTTGTTTTCTTTTTCAGTTTTTTCAATTGAGAATAACCCACCAATTTAGTTTGTTTCTGGAAAATTTATGGTAACATTTCTCCCTCTCACACATACCATCTGAGTGTTGATAGAAGATACCAGTATCCTAAGTCCATCACTGCCTAGAAAAGCTGGCTTACTCTGAGGGGTCAGCCTCTGACTAAAATATGTGACAGTCACCCAGCACTGCCCAAGCATTTGGCCATCACAGGATACGTCTGTCATTTAGTACTGGGTTGGAATAAGGTTGAGCTTTTGATGGTTACATCTAAATCATTAATTTTTTCATTGATGTAAGCAGGTGTTATCTTCACTAAGCTTTAAACATTTTTGTATATTCTTACCATCTTAACTTGCCTGATTGATTTGAGAATAATCTCTGCATAATTAGTCAACAGCTGCACTAACAATTTAAAGCCTAGGAGTTCTTCCAAGGAGAACAAGGACAACATGAACACTTTAAACTTTTTAGTTTCACTGTTGGTGAGAGAAGGGAGATTCTAATTTGGCTGCGTGTACTTCATCCTCATTAGAAAATAAACAGGAAAATAAAATGTGTATCTGGAAAAGGCACCATTGGGTCTGATTGACTACAGGGAAAAAAGCAAAGCTTATAATGTCCCAAATCTACAGTTGTCTACAAGGCAAGTATAATTAAGCCCATGAATCAATTAGACCCAAAAAGAACTTTTCTGTGTTTTTAGCTGTAGTACAGGTCTTTAGACTCCTCATTTGTATTTGTAAGGGGTTTTTTTTTTTTTTTGGTTGGTTTGGTTTTACTGAAGACTGGTGATTGACTGAGACAATTCTCAGGAAAAGTGAGAAATGTATTTGCATCTGTTTTGAAGAATGGAAATCAAAGAGAAGCTGATACTACAGAATTTTTGTTGTCTATTGAGCAAACATGGCAAAGTAAAAGGGCCAGCTTTCTTAGTTGTTACCAGTTGAAGCTTAAACTATACTAGGCCGTACTCTTGTAAAGAGTTTTGTTTGTTTTGCTCTGTTTTATCTTAAAGACATTTGAACTTTGCTCTGAATATTTGCTAAAGCTTGTGATGTGATTACAATATTCACTGTTAGACGATTATGAGACTAATAAGCAGTCTCAAACGTTGAGCCACTTTCTTTGTAAGCTGCCTATGAACAGAGCACAGTATGGTTCTGTTTAAGGCCTTTCTTTCCCTTGCTACTGAATGAGGTATGTTTGAACTAGTTGTCTAGAGAAGTGTTTCAACAGTTCAAGTACATTCTGAACAGTGCCTACAAATCCTGCAGACCCTAAGCCTTAGCCCATACGACCAGGTTCACGCCAGACAAGCCATGTGCAAAGGAAAGTTTCTCCACCCTGAACATTTCTACATCTCTTCTTTTTACTTAGAAATTCTTATCACTTTGTTTTTATAGAACCCAAACAGCAAAAAGCTAGTTTTAAGGGAAGCAGGCTAAGTATTTTTTTTAAACATACATTATTCTAGCAGCTTAGGACCTAGAAACATTATGAATTTGAATTGTTTTGAATTTGCAAAAGTTATTTCACTATTTAATGAAAAATGAGATTTGGCCACCTTGTATAGAAAAAAAATGTGCTTGCTCTTTCTGCTGCTTGTTTATGCCTTTCTTTAGCGTTGTCTTTGGATTGTGGTTTTTTGGTTTTTTTGTTTGTTTGCTTGTTTTTGGGTCCGGTTGTGGGGCCTGAACTCTGGGCCTGGGCACTGTCCCTCAGCTCTTCAGCTCAAGGCTAGCACTCTACCACTTGAGCCACAGTGCCACTTCTGGCTTTTTTTTTCTTCTGCTTATGTGGTGCTGAGGAATGGAACCCAGGGCCTCGTGCATGCAAGGCAAGCACTCTACCACTGTGCCACCTTCCAGCCCTCTATCATGGTTTGTATTGAGCTTCACAGAATTTTCTATGAAAATGAGGCTTGAATAAAAAAAAAAATATTTATTGGGAGTTTTTCCCAGGAAGCTTTCAAATATACTAAAGAGCACTGATAAGCTGGAGAATGATGTCAAAAGGAAGGAAGTGTTTTCCTATATCATATTCCTGATTCTGCAAACAATTCCCAAATGTCTGATTTGTTTTCAAAACCAAAGATAAATATGCTTGAATGCAAGTGTTACTATATTAATGTTCTAGAAATAAAGCCAATTTAAAAATGATTATTGTTGGGCTGGGAAGATGGCTCAGTGGTAGAGTGCTTGCCTCGCATGCATGAGGCCCTGAGTTTGATTCCTCTCTACCACATAAACAGAAAAAGCGGAAGTGGCACTGTGGCTCAAGCGGTAGGGCTCTAGCCTTGAGCTGATGAGCTGAAGGACAGCACCCAGGCCCAGAGTTCAAGCCCCACGACTAACAAATAAGGATAATAAAATGATTATTGTTACTATACATTGGGAGTGAGCACCATAATAAATTTCTTATTCTTTATATTAATATATCCCTTAAGATTAGAGTTATTGGGTGAAGTATGTAGCCACACAATGCCAACTTCCATTAAGTAATCTTGACTGTTACTTTCCAATCTCTAATGCTTTAGGATGGTTTTTGCAATTTACTAAATTGCCTTGATACAGTCAGCTTTGGAATGGACAATGTGCCCATGACCAATTAGGTAGACATGTCAAAAAGGTATGTCTTATTGAAAAAGTATGGGATGTTTCATTAACATTGAACACTAAAGATAAATTGGTATGCTAATCTATATAATTACTATATCGACGTATATGAGATATCAACTTAAAAAAAGTCCAATGTGTTTTTGAGCTCACAGTTTTAGAGGCGTCAGTCCATGATTGTGTGGACGTTTTCATTTGGGATGTCTGGTTGCCCATAATGGAAAGCGTATGGTGGAGAAAACTGTTCATCTCCTAACCAGAAAACAAGAGAAGAAAGAAGGTATCTGGTCCCATAATCCCCTACAGATCATGTACCCAGAGGCTTTAGTACATCCTACAAGACTTCTACTAAAGGCTCATAGTACCTCCAAAAAGCACCACCTTGGGTACCAAGTCTTTAATACATGGAACTCTTGGGGATGTCTAGCATCCAAACTATACAAAATGATATATAAATTAAGGTCAGAGGCCCTACTGAAAAGGTTGCTCTAGCAGTTTACTGGAGATGTTTTAGTCTTCCTTTTGTCACAACAGTGTGTTTACTAATTCTTAAATGTTTCTCTAACCACTCCTCCCAGGGCCCACTGTGTTTTCTATTCCCAATATAGACGCACTTTGATGCCTCCCAGTGATATAGTCCGACCCTCTCATGACTGAGCTCATCACAATCCCAGACCTTTCATCATTAAGATGGT